TCTTTCTTTCTTTCTTTCTTTCTTTCTTTCTTTCTTTCTTTCTTTCTTTTTAGTAGTTTGGGAATGATACTTTTGTTCATTTGTTTCTGATCTGTTGCATTCCAGAGTATCCTATTTTGCATTTTAAGGTTCTTTGCTACTGGGAAGATCACAGATGTTAAGGACTGAGCTGAGAGCCAAAAGCATTTGGCCATATTGTTTCAGGGAGCAGAAGCTTCTCTTAATGATTGAAGCATCCCAGATCCCTTTATTAAACTAAGGCATCAATTTTATTGATTTTATTTCAAACCCTCTGAAACCTAGAGCTTATTCAATATTATTTTAAAAAGAAATTTCAGTGTGTGCCTGACAACACTGCGATATCACCATACAGAAATCCATTATAGGAAACACAGATTCATGATTTTAGCCTTCATGTGAGAATTTTCAAATGTGTGTGAGAACCAGACTACCTTGAACTTCAACAGGAATAGTCGTCCTCTTGGGAAAGTTTTGGTAACAGTTCTGTTAAGAGGCAGGTTTCCAAAAAATAGTTTTTTTAAGTATTTATTCTCAGTCTGTAATGATTCGAGAACTCCCCTTTTGCAAAGGTTTCCCAGCTCAGACTCTGCTTCACGCTTCTTTGCATCTCGTCCATCCTGACTGACCACACATGGGCTGACAAAGTTTGGGACCCAAGGAAGCATGTTTCCCTACTTATATACCCAAGACTCTCCATCGAATGGAGAGCTGGTTTACAGTAAAACTTGTGAGATGCTCATTTCAAAAGCTTGTGAAATCATAGTTTCAGAACTTGACTTTGAAAGAATCTAGCATGCTACCTTCAGCACCTCCGCTGAAAGAAAGAACCATGAAGTTAAAAGACCAGCTGTCCATGCATCTCTCATCCATCCCTAGAAATAATCTAGTGGCCTCCTTCTTGGTTAACTTTAGTTGCATTCATGCTATATTCATGTTGGTCAATGTCTGCAGACATTTTCTTTTTAGTAATGCTAATTTCTTAGAATTGCAAAAATATGAACAGCATGTGGTTTTGAATGAATTTGTATGACTTGTTGGATACTGCATGACAAGATATGCAGTATCTCTTAGAATTGGACTTTTATGCATGTGCTCAGCGTATCTTTGGATGCCCCTGGTTCTAAAGTGCATTTTCATGGGCTTAAAAATGAAATTTTCTCCCAAAAGGTTATAGGACTAAAATTACACGAAAGCTCAGACCATAAGTTGGACTTCTATTTTTTTAAGACACAGTTTTACTATAACTTTAGTTCTGCCAGTAAAATAATTGATGTACGTGAAATACTCCTGTAGATTTACCTTTCTTCTAAATCTTTGTATTGTAGTGTTCGATCAATTAGATCTCGTTACATATGAAGAAGTAGTAAAACTGCCGGCATTCAAAAGGAAAACACTAGTCTTATTAGGTAAGTTTGACTGTATAAGTAACTTTGTTAATGTCATCTTGAACACATTTTGCAAATGTTACTAACAATTGTCAATTTCACCTTCTTTTAAAATGACATAGGTGCGCACGGTGTTGGGAGAAGACACATAAAAAACACTCTCATCACAAAGCACCCAGACCGGTTTGCATACCCTATTCCACGTAAGCTATGTCTCACTCTCTTTTAAGTATACTAGTCCTAGTACTTTTTAAATGTTGTAGTTAATGTATTTTTTTTCTATTATATAAGCTGTAACTACTCGTTAGGGGAAATCTGGAAGATCCAAAGCAGAACAAAGAAGAAAATGAATTAACAGTAATCCTGACCACATTTGCCCAGTAGTGGCACCGTAAACATTCTATTGTAGACTCCCACAAGCTTCTCTCAGGGCAAACGTAGGCAGCGTGCGATTTGCTTGTCATTGTTGTTTTTTAACAAAATTGGGCTCATCCACTCTATTTGTGACCTGATTTTCCCAGCAGTATGGCTGGGACATGACTCAGATGAATTCTTCTTCGGAAAAATAGATCTGATAGCACAGTGTTCTTTGATAGAACGATATTCTCCTGAAACGTACCTAAGTTATTGACTTTCATCACTTTGAAAAGCCAGTGTACCATCGGGTGGTTCTTATAAAGAATTTTAAATCTGTAATATTTTTATTCCCTTTATTTTCTCTATCTCACCCTTAACTTCTTGCCCTGTGTCCTCAACTGTAAGATGAAGTAATTCCAGGAATGTAAAGAATATTTGAGATTAGGAAGCACTAGCAAATACTGGATAAAGAGCAGTCATGTTACTGCTATCACTGTTTTCAGTACTGTTGTACCAGAGTTTATAGTTTGAATCCCAGAAGCTTTCTGGAAGATACAGTTTTGTTCGAGGTGGGAAGGACTAAAGGGGAGTGAGTTATAAGACCAAAAAGAGAAAATGGGAAGATTGGCTCTTCCCAGTAGGGTCTTCTGTTGCCTTCCTGAAGCCAGGTCAACACCACTTACGGTTTTCTCTACGCCCCAGAGAGCTGTGGGGCTTCATAAGACCACACCCTCCTTCCAGAACCCTGTCTGATTTACACAAAAAAGGAAATTCATCAAACACCATTTCATTTGGTACCTCTGGGATTTTCTAGTAAAACGCTTTGAAGTATTCGTTTAATTCTCCTTATGTCTGGATCAGAAGTATAGCAAGCTTAACTAACATTAAGTTTCTTCTTGGTTACATAACAATTGAACGTCCATGTTATTAAACGGCCAGTTAACTAGCTTGGTTTTGAAGCATACATTGCCAACCTCAGTCATGTGAGTCATGAGGTCCCTCTCTCAAATATTTGACCCCAGATGCGTATATAGCATATGTTTGCCTACCGAGATGACTAAGCATCGTACAGCATCAACACATGATGCCATCTCTTCAGCTTTTATGTGCCTGGAGAAAGAGTTGTTTAAAACATCTACATTGGAACATCCATGAGCACTTGGAAGTTCTAATAGTCCATCCAGTTGGGGTAGGAGAGAGGGGCAGTTCCCCATGGGTTTGGACCCATGCACACAGCAAAGGGGAGCATAAAGTTTGTCCTTGTCCAATGATGGAAACTGAAAGAAAGGGGAGGGGAAGGGGAGAGGGAGGAAGGAAAGAAAAAAAGAGAAGGAGAGAAGAAAGGAAAAAAGTGGGAGGAAGGAAGATTTAAACCAGTGTTCCTGGCGTGTCTAGAAAGACATTTTCTAAATTGTGTTTTGCAGAACACTGGTCCTGTCAGTCTCCCACAGAACTAGGACTTACCGGCCAATATTTTAGTACATGTTCTCTTGGGCCACAGGTCAGCAAACCTTTTCTATAAAGGACTAGATAGTAAATATTTGAGGCATGGATGGCCACATGGTCTCTGTCACAACTACTCATCTCTGCCATTATCACATGAAAGTAGCCATAGACAATATGTAAACAAATGGGCATGGATGTTTTCCAATAAAACTTTATTTATAAAAGCAGGCTATATTTGACTCATAGGCCATAGTTTGCCAACTCATGGTGTAGATCTTTACTAACTATTATGGCCACATCTGGCCAAGGTCATTGGATTCTCAATGTAGTACACCTTTTGCTGTATTCTAACATTCTCTTTTGCAAGCTGCCGTAGACCAGCACTATCCAATGGAACTTTTCTCTGATAGTGACAATTTTCAATATCTGTAGTGTCCATTATAGTAACCATGAGCCACATGTGGCTACTGAACCCCTGAAATGTGGCTAGCCAGACTGAGGAACTGACATTTTAATTTTAATTTATTTAAATTTAAATAACCATATGTGGTTTTCCATTTTTTTTTTTAACTCTTCTTTTTTCCTTCTGCTTAAGAAGTAACTGCATTAAAGCATACAGTAAGTTATGTTAATCTTGGGTCAGTGTCTTTGTCCTGTAGAGACCCATGAAGAGATAAAATAAATCTCATCTAAACACTGAAGGATTCACCAGACCAAACAACTAACCAGTTTTTGTGGTCCGATGTCACGCAGATAAACATGGTGCTGAGAATTTAGTTCTACAAAGCTACTGGGGGGGGGGGGGGGGGGCGGGGAACGTAGCATGAGACCTATACTGGAAAAATCCACAGCTCTCAAGATTTTGGGCTTGGGTAGGTCCATTGGGAGCATCAGATCATGAGCTCAGCCTTTTGAGCCTCTCTTGATATGTGACTTTCTTTGCAGATACAACCAGACCTCCAAAGAAAGATGAAGAAAATGGAAAGAATTATTACTTTGTATCTCATGACCAAATGATGCAAGACATCTCTAATAACGAGTACTTGGAGTATGGCAGCCATGAGGATGCGATGTATGGGACAAAACTGGAGACCATCCGGAAGATCCATGAGCAGGGCCTGATTGCAATACTGGACGTGGAGCCTCAGGTAACACCCAGCCACACGCTGCCCCCATCCACCTGCCTGCATGATAAGCTCAGGTTCTGAAATCAAAAGCGCCATCAGAACAGCGTGGGTCATATAATAACTACAGGAAAGTATCGTAATGCAGGCATCATGGGTTGACAGTCTAGAATGCAAACTGATCATTGAGCTCGGTGCACACACCGTGTATTTAAGAAGCAACAGTATACTCTTACGAGATTCATTATACTCAGAAGCTCAATGAAAGTACCCGATTGGGTCTGTGCTGCCAGAAATCCTACAATAATCTGACCTCAGGATGAGACTTGGGCACTTTGTGATCACAACAGCCCCCTTTTCTCTCCCGGTTCAGCTCACATGGGACTGTCAGAGCCTCTCCCGGCGTCTTCTGTTCATCACCATCAATGAACTCTGATCCTGGGGCCTGGGTCGGGGTCTGAAACACAGCACTGGCTTTAGGAAAGCAAGCAGGAGTGAGCCCAGGGAGTGCCAGATGGGGCAGGGAGGGAGACCCATGGTGGCTCTCAGCCTCCACCGTCTCTTTACTGAAGATGATGCCCAACCCCGGGCTAGAACTAGGAGGGATATGGAGAGCTTGGAGGGACTTGGAGCCAGACACAGGAATGACTGGATAATCTGTAGAGAAGCCCTAAGCTTCTCTCTCTCTCTCTCTCTCTCTCTCTCTCTCTCTCTCTCTCTCTCACACACACACACACACACACACGCTGACAAGCTATTTTTTTCATCTCTGAAGACAAAGCAAGCAGAAGCAGGACTTCAAGTCCAGTAGGAAGGGTGTTGGAGACATTGGGGCAAGTTCCAGGAGAAGCCTGTGGGTCCCCATGTGAGTCCTGGGCCTTCCGTTTCTAAGGCTGATCTGTGTGCCAAATCCCTATCACTTATATTTAGCAATCCATATACCACCTGCCAACACAGTAGACCAGCTCCCCTCAGGCAGGCTCCACTTCACCAGGCTTACCTGGCTATCCCAGGCAGGGATGGCCCCTGTTCAAGGGCCACCATATGAAACTTGGTCCCCTAGCCATGCCCAAAGGGAGGACAGCAGCTGGCAGCAGCGTCTATGTGACCCAAGACCATAACATCGTGGCCAGTGGCTACACCCGTTTCCATTTCACAGAAGCTGATGGGGTTCTTGAACTCAGAATCTGCTTAAGGGGCTGGGGAGGAAAGCAGCACGGTGAACACTGTACGGTACACTTGACAGTGAGCTCGGACCTGTAGAGAACTAAACATGTCATGTGGAACACAGCTTGATCTCTCCTTACCTACAAAGCCCTCCTTACCAGGGCTTGGCAAAGTCTTCTGGTGGGGGGTGGCTAGAGGCAGTCTCCATCCTGGTCGTGTGGTCTTCGGCATCCCGTCCTTGGGTCCCACACTGGTCTTCGCCTGAATGTCATTTTCTGCTGGTAGTAAGGTCTCTAGCAGTATGCTGACTGCAGGGCTCTTCAGACCCCTCTCCCTGACCTAAGTCCACTTTCGAGGGCTTTCTGCCTCAGCGGCTGCCATGCCACTCTGCCCCTGGCGCCCAACTCTCCCTGTGCCCTCGCCAGGTCACACGCTGAGTGGGAGCCCTCACGGCCTCATCAGGACATCCACAGCAGCCGTTTGTACAGCGGCATGGGCACCAGAGCGCCCCACGCCCAGGCAGGGTGCTCTCTCCCTGCTCCCCTGACTGCTGGATGAGCTCATGCATTCCTGTGTCCCCACCTCAGAACAGGGGTCTCTCAGGGCCACCCAGCCCCGAGGCTGGGAACGGGTATCGATCGGCCAGGCCCCGCTCCTCTCGGTTGGTCTGGTCAACCATGCTGGTCCCGGCTCACCTACCCTGGACCACCCGGGGCTGACCTGGACTGGAGCCCGGTCCTGCTCCCATGCGGACTTTGCACTCAGTAGCACAGCCGCAGAGGCCCACGGGCTCCGCACCCCCAGGGCTCCTCCCTTGGGCTTCCCTGCCTTTGGCCCACTCTCTCCCCGGGATGGGCAACGCTGGCACCCTGCCTTCAGGACAACCGGCTCCAGGAGGCTCTGACCTTAGAATGCCTTTCTCCTCACCCTTTCCTGCCCAGCCTGTGTGATCCCCCACTATTAGATCTCACGGACAGCTGGATGCTTCCAGTTTGTATGAAGCACTTCTTGTCTTCCAAGCATCGTCTTGGGAGCTAAGAATACAAATAAGAAGCTGGTGAGGATGAAATGAGTGCCTCGGTCTACATCAAAAACTCCCCAACAGCAGAAATGCCATGTGGCTCACACCTGCCACTGCTGACTTGTGGACCATAGACCACCTAACACTGGTGTTCGGCTTATTGCATTTGGGTCTATTATTTCGTGCTCTCTTAGCTTATTTATTTTTTCAAAAATTTTTTAAGGTTTCTTTATTTTTGAGAGACAGAGCATGAACACGGGAGGTAGAGAGAGGGAGACACAGAATCCAAAGCAGGCTCCAGGCTCTGAGCTGTCAGCACGGAGCCAGACATGAACCTCAAGATCATGACCTGAGCCAAAGTCGGACACTTAACCAGCTCAACCACCCAGGCGGCCCTCTCTTAAATTATTTTAGACAGCTTAGGCCCAATTGAACACATGTCTAATATGTGAAGACGTTGTAGTCCAGCTTCAAACCTAGAGGGCCACAGTTAAGATTACCCTAGAAGCAAACTAGCAATCTGCTTCTTTTAAAATGAGAAGAAAAGGTGTGTTCCTACAGTGCTGTGTATTTTGCAAGCATGAGTACTCTTTCCTTAATCCTTGGAACCCCGAGACAGAGGTATCTGTGTCCTCCTTTGCAGATGAAGAACCAAGGTGTAGCTCGAGTGAGAGTGAGGTTTCAGCTTTGGACAGTGTTGGTTGGGGCTTCGGTTTTCTTACAGCCAGCCCCCGCCTCCTTCCACTGTTCCATCCTGGAAGAGGTGACCCTGGGAATCCTGAAGCTGGTCTATCTTATATGTAGTCCTAGGATTTAAATCTTTTTTTTTTTTTTTTAATGTTTAGAAAAATCAATAAGGCAGTCAAACCTGAGGAAAAACCGTAGAACTTCTTTCTCACGGACATGAAGCTATGGAGGGGCACCTCGGTGCCTAGGTCGGTTAAGCGTCCAACTTCGGCTCAGGTCATGACCTCACGGTTCATGAGTTTGAGCACCACATCAGGCTCTGTGCTAACAGCTCGGAGCCTGGAGCCTGTTCCAGATTCTGTGTTTCCCTCTCTCTCTGCCCCTACCCTACTCATATACACATTCTCTCCAAAATAAACATTTTTTAAAAAATGTTTTTAAATGAAGCTATGGCCCAGAAAATAATCTATGTCCCTAAAGCTACAACTGTGATAGCACCAGCGTGTCATCAAAACCTACTGAGATGGTTTTATATTTTATATTTTAATTTTACTCTGGTTTATGCATTTGCTGCCTTAACAAGTTAACGGTAGCAGAATACTTGTGTTTTGGCTTTTGCCCGTAGAGGGAAAGGTTGTCAACAAGGGGTAGCCGCAGTCTTGTTAGGAATCTGTACTTCAAAACAAGAGCCAGGTTCTGAACTAGGGGCCGTTTTGTGAAAGATTATCTCTGGGGTCATAGTGCTTTTCCTTAAACCCTTATATTTTTGTGTAGAATGACTCAGACACTTGCCCCTATACACTTTCTAAGTTTGCAAAGCAGATATGTCTTAAAGCTATCTGCGTCTTAGGGACTTGATCAAATATGTTTTCACTCCTTATGGGTGGTAACCTGGGACCAACTGTTGGCCATATATGAGCCATAAAATCAATTCATGTCTCCACAGAAGAGAACTAAAGACTTAACTTTAAATGTATGTTAAACCTAATGTTGCTTTGGCTGTTTAAATCCAGCGTATTTTCAGTGACCTTTCTAGACTCCCCCACCTCTCCGGGATTCAGAAAGAAATATTTGCCTGTAAATACGGACAAACTTGTGTCTCGTCTTCAGTCAGAAGGAAGAGGGTTTAAGAGACCTCTTGAAGTCCCCTGTTAACAGCCTGAGGGGAGGGAATCTTGGTGAAGCCGTTCCATTTACTGTCCCTGAAGTGACCCTAAACCCCAGGCAAGCAGAGACTACACGCACACACCAAAAAAGGCACGCACTTAAGCCTGTAAGTCGAGCAGTTGGGGACACCTGAGGAAATGTGTGGTGACTGTGGTGAAGACATGAGGGCTACTGGACAAGAAAATCTCAGGATTTGAGGGGGTCTTTTCATTTTTGAAAATATAATGACATAGGAAAAGAAAAGAAAGTAACCTAGTATCGAAATCGAAAATCAAAGCCATGAAAAGGCCACTGTATTTACTCTGATCAGCGTGCAGTTTGGCTCTGAACGTCCTGGCGAGCAGGACAAAAAGGGGAATGTCGTGGATCACATCATCCTTATCTGCTAGAAGGATGCCAGTTCTTTCCTTGGAATTAGCTGCTAAGGGAATATAACCTGATTCGTGAACACGAGAGCACTGGGCAGCACACAGTGCGGAATGATCTTCGCGTCCGGATGGATAAAGGCGAAGGGTGTGCATGCTGCACAGAGAAGGGTAATCTGCGGGGAGTTTATGGTTGCCCAGGAGTGTGTTTTCTGGCGTTGCAAAAACAATCGCAGGCTGGCATTTAAAATTTCAGAGAATTGGGTGGCTTTCAGGCTGGGGTTACTGAGCAGAAAAAAAGCCGTTTCACGCCTGAGGTGTCATTCTCAACTTCACCAGTGCGTTCCATTCGGCATCTAGGCTCCCTCTGTGCGTGGAGTCACTTCAGGGATGGAAGCAAGGGTAGGAACCGTGAACTGGGATATCTCCCCATCTCAGTTGCCTAGAGGCTGGCTGTGGGTGGACGAAGAAACCTTCTGTCTCAACTGACCCTGAGCCTCCTGATTTATGAGCACAGGAAGGACAGAAAAAGAGGCCCAAAATTATATTCACAGGAGATTTCCAAAGGAAGATCCCTGTTTAGCTCAATTGAGCTATATATGGACTTTTCCATGATATTTATTCCTTAACAGAACTCTCAATCACAAAAGGGTTGGGAAAGAAATTGCCAATTACCTCTGTCAAAAGGGAGCATAGGCAGACCCAAAGAGCTTTCTCCTGAGGGGAATGTGATGTCCACAACTGAAGCACTTTGATATGACGGCTGAAACAATGTGCTGGGCCCCCTTAACCCACAAGGAGATCCTGTGTGGCTGGGATTCAGAAACCCAATCCCAGTGAAAGTGAACCTTGCACTAAACCTTTATCATCCCTGTTGGTCTCTCACAGCTCCGTATGGTCAGAGGCCAAGAGGTTCCCTTCAGCCACCAAGCACAGTGCCCACTGGTCAAACATTTTCTGCCAATCCTGTGTGCTGCTTTTCCATTTTCATTTTACCATAAACACAGTTTATGCCGGCTGCCATACAGGGCACAAGGGAGATGACTGAACAAGACATCGCCCCTGCCTGTAAGCTCACCCTCTGGTATCTGGGTACTTGGTGTGCAGCATCCTGGGTCCCATGGTCGGGGGGGGAGGGGGCCCACGGCCTGGCTCAGAGCCCACAGAGGACTTTGCAGACAAAAGAACACCAGAGCCAGGTGCTCACGGATCATTCAGCCATGCCAAAGGGAGAATGGGGACGGAGCATCCAGGCAGAGGGAGTAGTAAGACAAAGCTGGGAAGGCAGAGTGTGGCCCTTTCTGGAACTGGAAGTGGTTCAGCAAGGCTGTTTGGAAGAGGGGGAAGCAGCAGAGAGGTGTAGAGAGAGACTGAGATAAGCACAGGCCAGCTCAGGACCGAGGGATTCAGCATTCATGCTAAGGAGTGTACATTTTATCCCAAGGCCGAGAAGGAGCTGTGGAAGGGTTTGGAGTAAAGGAGCAATATGATGGAATTTGCCTTGCCAGAAGGATCGATCATTCTAGTAGCAGGCTTTTAGTACAGGGGCAGAGTGACCGGTCTCGTTGCTACCACCGTGAACCAGGCAAAAGAGGGAGGAGTAGGAACAGAGCAAAGCAAACCACTGAAAGGCCATTTAGAAAGCCAGATACGTAGGTAGCAGAACACGCATGTTAAATGCTCAGATGAAGGACAGCAAGATACTATTCGCTGCGGTGCAAATTAATGACACACCAGACACCTGTGAATTGTGTACCCACGTATGCTGGAGTTTTTGTCCCATGCAGGGGAATCCATAGCCCATTGCAGGGTCACGTTTCCCCCCCCCCCCCCCCGGGAGGAGCTGACAAGCACTCCCTTACCAGAAACGACTCCTAGGGCATGGGATGCCAGCTTGGCACTGTGTCTGTGCAAACTGGTGGCTGCACCATTCAACATGTTTTATGCCTCTGAAGGGAACTGCATCAGCCTCAGGGGCCCCTCTCCCTCCAACACAGTGTTTTCCTGCTGGCCT